TCAGCTAATCAGTGTTTTCTTCTTTTTCTTCTCAAGAATCTCATAGCCTACGCTGTCCATATACAAACTGATTTGACATAATAATTGGGCGTTTTTCTTCTCCTTCTTTTCGGTTTCTCATTCGACATGATTTTCCCCAAATTTCGCCCAGAAATAAGCGTAAAATTGGTATTTTGCTCATATTTTTTAACGAGCTGTTAGTGAATATGCTCCGATGAGCAATGATGGGTCTAGGATAGACAACAAAAAGTTTAGAAAACTGAAGTCAAGAATCTCATCTGAAATTNTGATGTATTTTTGCCTCCCTCCCTAGAGACCGCTATGTACTCGTGGTGTCGTTTTCAGTTCAAAACTCAAAAATAGAATAGTCCTAGAAGATTTCAAACATTTGAAAATTCGGAATAAAAAAAACTTTAAGTCCGAAAATTCCAAAATCTTCAGAAAATTCGAAAAATCGTCGCAGCAGCAGTATAACTATTCAGAATCCGAATTTCACGGGCTTTCTAATGATATAGGTCATGAACCGTATCTTGGAATCATGCTCAGATAGTTCCCTGGTGAGCAGTACTACACACATGCCCAAAGCTTATTTTAGTAGTCTGTAGTCTGTAAAAGATCTGTCTCTTGTTGTCAAAAGAGGCAAAATGCTCATATTCACTTGATCACAATCTACCGTACTCGCTCTAATAGAAATCCATCATATACGTGCACCTTGAGCTCAATTATCTCGGTTCCTATATGAGATATCAAAAAGTAGTTAACTGATAAAATGTTTATCGAATAATCAGCAACAATTTATCAGTTGACAAATTTTTGATATTTCTCACAGGATTTGAGATAATCGAGCTCAATGTGCACTTATACCTCTATGGAATTAGGCTTGTCTGTAGGTCGATTTGTCCTGATGTCCGAGAATTACCGCATTCCCACCCGTTCCTCGATTTCTCATTAATTTTGACTATCGTCCGAAAATGCATGTTCCCCTTCTTCTCAGCATTTTCCGCACTTTTCTCCCGCGCCCTATTTGTTTTGCTCCCATCATCATCATCGTTCTCTCTCTCTCTCCTCAGCGTCTCCCTCCGATCCCATGTCCATCGCCCTTTTTTTCCAATACAAAATCGTTGTCGCCCGATTTTGTCCTTCTTTTCCTCTCTATTTCTCTTCGTCTCGCGTTGTTTCTAGTCTAGTTCTCTAGGTGGAAAACAGTTTCCTCTCGCATTTTCTCCCTTTTTTTTTGGAGACAATGACCTTCCCAAGGATTTATATAGGAATTTGAATTTCTTCGCCACTCAGAGGTCTAATTTTCGTAGATTTTGGGAAAAAAAGTAGTCGCCGCTAGCAATATACCGAAAATTGGACCAAAATCAGACCGAAAATAGCTTAAAATAGAACAAAAACGGCCTAAAAAATGAACCAAAATTAGACCAAAATGGATCAGAAATGACTCAAAATCGACCAAAAATGAATAAAAGTGGCTTAAAATGGACCAAAAATGAGTTTGGACGAAAATACTTAAAATCAGATTTTATTTTTGTCGATTTTTTGTCCATTTCGGTTCATTTTGGTCGATTTTAGACCTATTTAGACCATTTTGGACTATTTCGATTCATTTTTAAGTCATTTTTGATCTATTTTCCCCCATTTTGGTCGATTTTGGTCCATATTTCTCTGTTGTCTCTCTCTCTCTCTCTCACTCTCACTGATCCTCTCCGTTTCGTTTCAAATAATACAGTTTCAAAACTAGTACATAAAAGTGAGAATCGTCGGAATACCCGGTTCTTCGTCTGCTTTTTCGGTCTGTTCAGTTTTGTCCTTCTGCTTCTCTCACCACCCTCCTCGTTCTCTATACTCTCTAATGCAGAGAGGTGGCCTTGACGACTAGAGAATCTGGGCTTATCTCATCAGTTTTCTTTCATTTTTATTCTCAAATTGCAATTTAGTCTTGGTGGCCTAGGTGTTCTTCAAACTCGGTTTTCTAGGCCACCAAATGAAAATTCTCGATTTTTGTTCTTTAAAAGCGAATTGTCTATTTTTCAGTCATTTTTCGCCAATTTCAGACCAATCTTCATGATTTTTGGCTCATTTTTAGCTCTTCTTTTTCGCATTTTCCTCTTTTTTTGCAACTTTTATAAAAACCTGAAAATCCAATTTTTTTTTCGATTTTTCCAGAAAATTCTCGAATCGCGCCCCCCTCTTCTCAATGAATTTGAAGAATGAATGAGCAGCGACACCATAAACCACCTCAACCGCCACCACAACAGCAGAGGGATCGAACGAATACCGTTTATTATGATGCACAATCGAATTTGTGAGTTTTTGAATTTGGAAAACTGAGAAAAATCGCTGAAAAATGACCCAAAATGACCTTAAAAATCATAGAAATTGACCCTAAAGAAGTGAAAAATGCCGAAAAATGAGCCAAAAATCGAATTTGTGAGTTTTTGATTTTTGAAAATAGTGAAAAAAAAAGGTGAAAAGCACGAAAATAAGCCAAAAATTAATGAAAAAAAAGGGTTAAAATGACCCGAAACTCATTGAAATTGGTTCGCAAAAATAGCAAAATTAAAACAAAAATCTCAAAAAATTGGAAGAAAATTTGATCCAGAATTCCCTGAAAAAGGCAGAAAATTACCTAAAAATGAGTGAAATGTGATTTTGGACTGTTAAAATTGACTTTTAAAAACGATTTTGACTTTAAAATGACCATTTTTAGCCGGAAAAAAACGATTTTGGTGGAAAAAAGGAATCAGAAATCATGAAAAATTTGTCCGAAATCGCAGGAAAATGAGCCAAAAATCGAACACTTTCCCTTGTAGTCCGGTGGTCTAGAAAACCAAATTTGGGAAAAAAAACTAGGCCAGAAAGGGTAGAGACGATTTTAAGACGATTTTAAGGCTTAAAGACACCAGAGACACCAGAAAAATTGCTTTTTGACTTTGAAATTGTCATTTTTAGCTCTAAAAAAAGAATTTTCGACCTTAGAGATTCCTCCATTTTGCCTCTAAAATCGTCATTCTTGCCCTAAAAATTGTGGGTTTTGCCCTCAAATTGGTCATTTTTTGGTAGTTTTGAGCTCAAAATGGACATTTTTTAGCTGGAAAAAAGCTGAAAAATTGATTTTCGAGGTCCCAGATGGTTCTAGACAACTTTTTCAGAAGTCCTGCTGAGCAGACTCAAAACTAAAAAGAATAAATAAATAAATAAACAGAAAACGCGAATATATATATCGAATTTCGTTTTCTCTGCCAAATGAATGAATGCTCGATACGGCTGCTCGGTACACACGAATAATAAATGCCATTCTCTTTTTTTGTCCTTTTTCGCTTTTTTGAAAAACGAAATTTGAGAGATTTTGAGCTGAAAATCGCCTGGAAAATCGCTGAAAATGATTTAGAAATTATAGAAAAATTTAGCGATTTTTCGGGTTTTTGGCTGGTTTTTTCCCCTGATTTTTAGTGAAATTCAAACGATTTTGAAGCTAAAAATCTGGGGGTTTTTTGAGCAAAATTTGGGAGATTTTAAGCTGAAAATTGTTGAAATTTGTTCAAAAAATTGTATGCAAATTCAGCGATTTTTGGGTGTTTTTAGCTACTTTTAAGAGATTTTCTAGGTGAAATTTTGAGTTTTTCTGAATTTTTGAGATACTTGAAATTCACATTTTTTGCAGCGGCACACCACCCAACGCCGATGGAATTGTTGGAATTTCAGCAGCAGCGAGCAGTGCAAAAGACTACAAAGACTACAAAATGGGACTGCGAAAAGCATCAGGGTCGTCGGATCGAGGAGCAGGTGGTGGTGGAGGAGATGATGTACTGTATGAGAGAGTGCATACGGTAGGTGTTTTTTTTGGGAAATTTTGAGAATTAAAAAAATCGGCTGAAAGTGGCTGAAAATTAATTGCGTAAATTAACGGCAAAAATGGCTAAAAATCGAGGAAATCGACTCAAAATGGAAAAAAAAGTCAAAAACTGAATTTTAGGCTAGTTTCAGCTAAATTTTGTGATCATTTTGGAGCCATTTTCAGCCAATTTTGGTCGTTTTTTCAGCGGAATTTTCGAAAATTCGAAAATCTGTGCATTTTGTCGTCGAATCTATCGTATTACTCAAACAATACAAAAATCTGTGCACTTTGTCGTAAATTCTGACGTATTAGCCAAAAATTCAAAATTCGATGCATTCTGCCGTCAATTCTGATGTATTAGCCAAAAATTCAAACATCTGTGCATTTTGTCGTCAACTTCAATGTATTACCAGAAAATTCACAAATCTGCATTTTGTCGTCAATTCTGACGCATTACCCAAAAATTCAAAAATCTGTGCATTTCGTCGTCAGTTCTGATGTATTACTCGAAAGTTGCAATTTCTGTGCATTTTGTCGTCAACCCTGGCGTATGAGCCAAAAATTTCAATTTCTGTGCACTTTGGCGTCGAATCTACCGTATTACCCAGAATCTTGTAAATTTGTGCATTTTGTCGTCAAATATGGTGTACTACAGGAACGACGTCATCACCTCTCGACGTCTTCTTCCTCTCCCTACCCGCATCGTCCATCGTCTCGAGAACAACAGCATTCGAGACCCTCTCACCAATCTACAGTAATCCATCATCAAATCCGGTCTCCATCATCAGCAACGTCTTCTGGAACTGTAATCATGGCTCCAATGTCATCGTCCTATGACTACTCTGTGGGGTCGTCGGCGTCTCCTTCAGCATTTAGAGCACAATCCGAGGTGGCTGGAAGTCAATGGGCTCCAAGAGCACAGGAGGATTTTCGACCGGGTCCACGAGCAAGCTCCGCGGCGAATATTGATGCTCTTTTTGCCCCCAAAGGCAATCAAAGGACACAATCGACGTCTTCTGGAGTCACACGCCTTCAGGATTCTGGGTCAAGGATGACTGCTGGAGGATACGATCCATCGGCAAATATAGTTTATACTAGACGAACTGGAGAGCCGAGCAGAGGACCTAGGGATCCTCCGAAGGACTACTCGGTGGTTGGAGCCTACGAACGAAGCCATGAGCAACCGATCTACAGTACCCGAGGTCCCCCCACCACACGAGGATCAGTGCGACAACACTCGAATGAATATGAGCTGGATCCGCGGCTGAATGTCACATATCCACAGTTTTATGTTGACGATTGGAAGGAGAGACACCACAATCCACGTGGCGGCAGTGCAGCTGGGACGCCACAGAATTCTGGATATCCACGTGGCGCTGGAGCTCCAAGACACTCGCCGAGTTTTACGACGACGACGGGACATCAGATGACGGGAAGGCCGAGGTTTGGAAGTGAAGCTGGTGTTGGAGGAGGAGGGAATATTGGGAATACTAGTCGGTGAGTATTTGAATTATTAATAATGAAAAAAGAAGGATTCTGAGATTCTGAGATTTCTGAAATTTCGAAAATTTGAGATTCTAAACAATTCTAAAAGATTCTGAAGAATTTTTTGAAGAATCTGGATTTCGAGAGAATTCAGAAATCCGGAAATTATGAGATTTCGAGAACCTGAAGGATTCTAATTAAGCTTCTGGAGGATTATGATTAAATTCTGAGATTCTTTTTTTTCTGAAAATTTCAGAATTTGAGGTTTTTGAGATTCTGAAGGATTTCAAAAGATTCTGGAGAATTTTTGGCAATTTTGGAATTTTGCGAAATCAAGACTCTGAACTCCTGAGATTTTTAATATTTAAAAAAAATTCAAAATTTTGAGATTCTGAAGGATTCTAGAAAATTTTCTGAAATTTTGAAAAACTGAAAATTTCTTGAAATTTTGGAGACTTGAGATTTTGAAAATTTCATGGATTCTGGAAGATTTTGAAATTCTGAAACTCTAGAGGATCCTGAGAATTCGACATTCTGAGATGTTGGGATTTTTTGAAAATTTGAGGTTTCTGGGATTCTAAAATATTCCAAAGGATTCTGAAAGATTCAGAAATTCAGAAATTCAGAAATTCTGATGCATTTTGGATATATTAAGAATATCACAGCTTTCAGAACATGAGAAAATTTGGAAATTCGAGAAATTCAGAAATTCAAAAAATCAGAAATTCATAAATCCGAAAATTCTATGTTTTTGAAATTCAGAAATTCAGAACTGCAAAAATTCTGAGATTTGAAAATTCTAATAATCTTGAAAGTAAATATCACATTTTTCTCAGAAATTCAAAATTCAAAATTCAAAAAAAAAGAAAACAAAACATCGAAAATTTGATGGTTATTTACTACTTTTAGGAATGTTTTTCTACATTTTTCGACCCTTTTTTTCCCATACTTTTACTCTGAAGTTTTGATAAATATGACATCATTTTCCTCAGGAAAAAGTCTATAAAATTGCCCCGATCTTAGCGAATTTTCAGTCAAAACGATGTTTCTCATATTCAGACACTTGTACGAAGAAGTGCCAATGGGAGTCAATGGATACCGTAGTCCTTCGGGTTACGGTATGAAGGAGACGGCGATTTTGGATGATTATGATAATGTGCCAAGCGAGTTTTTGGAGGAGAATCGAGCAGAAGCACAGAGAAAGAAGGTGAGATTTGGAGGATTTCTAAAAAAAAAGAAAATTTCGAAAATCGAATTTTTAGACATTTTCAGAATATTCAAAATTTTCGAATTAAGAAATTCGAAACCTGAAAAATTCGAATAGTTAGAAATTCAGAAATTCGAAACATTTGAGAATTTTTGAATTCTGAAATTGCTAGATTTCGAAAATTTCTGAAATTCGATATTTCTGAATTTTCTCAGAATCTCAGAATCTCAGAATTTCAGTATCTCAAAATCTCAGAATCTTAGAATCTCAGAACTTCAGAATATCAGAATCTTAGAATCTCAGAATTTCAGAATCTCAAAATCTCAGAATCTTAGAATCTCAGAACTTCAGAATATCAGAATCTTAGAATCTCAGAATTTCAGAATTTCAAAATCCCAGAATCTCAGAATCTCAGAATCTTAGAATCTCAGAATTTCAGTATCTCAAAATCTCAGAATCTTAGAATCTCAGAACTTCAGAATATCAGAATCTCAGAATTTCAAATTCTCAAAATCTCAGAATCTCAGAATCTTAGAATCTCAAAATCTCAGAATCTCAGAATCTTAGCATCTCAGAATCTCATAATCTCATAATCTCAGAATCTCAGAATCTCAGAATTTCAAAATCTCAGAATCTTAGAATCTCAGAATACTTTTTTCTATGAATTTTTCAGCGTTTTTTGTCTATTTTTAAACCTTTTTTTCCAGAAAGACGAGGAAATGTCGACGAAAGATGATGGAGGATCGGCGATTTATCAGCCAGGACGTTATCAGCCTGTTAGTTTATTTTTTTTATTGATTTTCAGGATAATTAGGAGGAAAAACGATAGAAAAAAAACAAGAAAAAAATGCTTCCTTTCAGTGAAAAATTCGGGAACAATTAGGCTAGAAAACGGCTTTTTCAGAGTTTTGAGCGGTTTTTTTGGGCGATTTTTCAGGTTTTTGAACTTTTTTATAATGATTTTTGGACTATTTTTTTTCAGATTTTCGGATTTTTTGAATATTCGAAAATTCGAATTTCTTAGCTACCGTAAAAACTGGGGGGTACGACGAATTCGAACGCTTCCAAAATCGAACAGACCTAAAATCGAACATGTGTCAAAACAGAACAAGAGCAGAATCGAACTGTGGGAAATTCGAACTGTGTCGGAGTCGAACTGTCCCAAATTGGAACGCTGTTAGCCATGGGGCGCGCTTGCATTTTTGCTTAAATTAGTGATTTTTTTCTTGATAAAACTTTTTTTATATATACAAATTATTTTTATTGGAAAC